CTCTACCCAAGGGGATAGCTTGAGGCTCTGTCTCAAAAAAAAAAAAAAAAAAAAAGAAAGAAAGAAAAGAAAAAAAACACAGCACAGGGACCCAATGCCCGTAAGAAAACTCAAGTCATAAGAACTCCCTTCAGTCTGGAAAAGATGACAGTAATTGCTTTAAACATTTGTGTGCAAGGAGGAATGAAGTATCAAGTCTAAAGGTTCATCTGCACTGAGTTTCTTTGGCAAAAAATCCAGTAAAATACCAACTACAGAGGTGGTCACTGGACAACATAATGACAGCTCAGAAGACATGATCTTCTCCTGATCTTTACTATTCCTTTCCTTTCCTCCTCAACAGTTACCTCTTGAGTATGATATTCCTTGGTATTTCTGCATCTAATATGACAGATGAATCTGTATTAGTAGGCTATGTTAATGCTTTCCCTTTCCGGTACGTTTTAATAGTGGAGCTCTTGAAAAAAATGACCTTATTCAATTCTAGGAGTAACTCTTGACAATGAGACTAACAGATCTAGTAGAAAAGGAGGATAAGTATTAGGCTTATTTGCAATTTGACACATTTTAGAGAGGTAGGTCTGCTCTTGGCATGAACTCAGAAGTCATGAGGGGACAACGTATGTTTTTTCTTTTGAGACTAGAGTCTCACTCTGTTAGAGCACCATGGTGACATAGCTCACAGGAACCTCAAACTCCTGGGTTCAAGCAATCCTCCTGCCTCACCATCCTGAGAAGCTAGGACTACAGGCGCCTGTCACAACACCCAGCTAATTTTTCGGTTTTTAATAGAGACAGGGTCTCACTATGGGTCAGGTCTCAAATTTCTTAGCTGAAGTGATTCTCCCACCTTAGCCTCCCAAATAGGATGATTATAGGTATGATCCACATGCCCAGCCAGGTCTTACTTTTCTTATTCACTTCTCTCCATCCTTCTTCCCTTCTGCCAATTCCCCTCCAGTGTAAGTGAACTCACGACTTCTACTGCTGCTGTACTTTTGTGTATGAGTTGGAGAATAGGAAGACAGCACAATGGACAGGAAGGCAGTCACTATCTTCAGCTAGCCTGATTTAATTTCCCAAAGGGGACTCACTGCCATTTCCTTCCTTAATCTGCTAGGCAGAGCTGCTATTGACAACTGTTATGCTCCACATGAACTGGCCGCTTTTTGAAGGCCTAAAAGTGATGCGATATCACAAGCTTCTAAATCACTGCACCAAGCATAAGAAATCAATCCTGATAAAAGTAGCCTCCAAAGAATGCACACATTTTCCCTAGAATGCTCTGGTTTAAATCTGAGAGAGCTATGAATCAAAATAGCAAACGGGTTATAAATATAATCCCCTCTAACATCATAGAAGTGAAGCTCAGGCTCCACGCGCTCATGCTCAGTGGCTAGGGCGCCAGCCATATGCACCAGAGCTGGTGGGTTTAAATCCAGCCTGGGCCTGCCAAACAACAGTGACAACCAAAAAATAGCCCAGGTATGGCAGGCACCTGTAATCCCAGCCACTTGGGAGGCTGAGGCAAGAGAATCACTTGAGACCAAGAATTTGAGGTTACTGTGAGCCGTGATGCCACGGCACTCTACCAAGGGCATCAAAGAAGTGAAACTCAGAGTTGTTTGTTTAGTTGTGGCATAGATTTGCATTAATCCATTCTTCTTCTCTCAGCCTGTCCCTCTTGTGACTAGTGGCCCACATCTGTAAATTCATTGACTAGGCTTACAACTATTATACGTAAACACAGGACAAATAGCCACAAGACATAACAAACCTAAGTAACTCACACAATTTGTGATCTTGTTCTGCTCAGCTGAAATGAACCTCCTAGATAAAGAACCAGATTCTTCTCTTCATGAGACAACCCATTCCTGAATTCAAACAACTAATATCACCTAAGAATCTGTTATTCAAAACACACTTGCCTTTTTTTTTTTTTGAGACGGAGCCTCAAGCTATCCCCCTGGGTAGAGTGCCATGGCATCACGTTCACAGCAACCTCCAACTCCTGGGCTCAAGCGAGTCTCCTGTCTCAGCCTCCCAAGCAGCTGGGACTACAGGCGT